TATACGTTGGTGTCATTTCAACCTTATCTGACATTCCATGGACTCGTGTTACTTCTAGGGATGTCAAAGAATTTATTGTTTTGTCAAATTAAATATTAATTATTAAGGGAAGCTGTGGGTTAATGGTAGGTAATCATCATTAATCGTGCTCAGAATTAATCAGGAATAAATCATGGTAAATCGAGACAGAACAAGATTCTGTAAAGTGGTATGTGGTATTTAAAACCTGAGGTTTCTCAGGTGAAATGAAAACAACACGTGAATCGACTGTGTATCAGAGCAACAGTGACTGGATGAGTGGTGGAATTATGGGATATAAAGTGTGCGTCATGCTGCCTACGCCGATACTTAATCAAAAATGTTGAATCTGATTCATTTTGCAAATTAGTTAACACAACTAACATGTGGATTTTGAACATCCTCATGACTTCTAACACAACTAACATGTGGATTTTGAACCTTCTTATTACCTGACTAAGTAAAACCTGACTTACAGACTATAACCTCCAGTCATGATTATAAACTCAACAATACTTTTCCACAGCGGTGTTCAAATCCCACAGGTTTTCTGCGATCGTGATCGTTGAGCGTTTGTCTTCCAGATATGGCTCTTTGTGCCGCTCAGATCTGTTTCCTATAACCTGAGGCCATTTAATAATGTGCACGTGTTTGATTTATACCAGTAGAACCCGAAACCACAAGAAGGTTCGGAGGCTGCCTTTGATTTGTTGAACTTGAGGCCCTGAAGTCTAGACTTCAAACAAACTTCTAACACCACACGGCTTCAAAAAAAAAGTTTTGATTCTTTTAGTTAATGGTTCATCGATGGGATCTGTTCTCACTGTGGTAATGGAGAAAGCAGAACTCGTCCAGCTGTGACACCAGCAACACTGTCAGGTACTGACACCAGAACAGAGACTGTGCCACGGACTAATGGGTTCACAAGAATATTTTTTAAAAACTTCAAACTGGACAAAGATACTTGGTGAAGAGCACTCTGATCAACATTTTTATTTTATTTATTTTTAGCCTAAAAGCATGAAACAACACAACTGAGACACTTTACTTCAGGTAACTACGGCGATGGATGTTGAGCAGCTGGAAAGCATTACAGCTTCACTCTCTCAGGCAAGGTTTAGTCACACAATTAAGATTAATTGACGTTGCCACACTGGCATATTATAAGCACTCACTAATTCTGGTGCAGGACATGCAGATGGCAAGAGCGGTGCATGTGTCATCCAAACGCCCGACCCTGCCGTCTGGTTGTCTAGTTGCTAAACAAGCAACGAAGAAAAAGTCAATTAGGTCTGGACTGATGTGCTGTGTCTGCGGGTGAGGTTTGTCCAAAACACACACACACGGCTGAAAGTGAGAATGGAAAGTTGCTTTCAAGCAACATGAATGAAATCAGCCGAGGAAAGTAAGAAAGAAGTCCATCTATGTTTGGATTTACTTTCCTCACTCGCTGTGTAAATGGAAAAAGGGCGATGCGAAGGCAAACATGGCACAGGAGCCGAGGGCGAAGGAGGGAAGATATGATGAGCCCCCTGTGCCAGGAATGTCTGCAGTGCATGAGCTGTGCTGCTGGAAAGCCCAGAGATCAGGTTCCCCATGTCAGCTGCTGCGTTCGACTGTTCCCAGGTTTTTACAGTGACATCTGATTATTAAGAAACAGTAAAGGATGGAGACGACTGCAGCGAACGGACTGACAGGGTCTGGGTCCAGATGAAACATGGTGGAAATGCACTTTCACGGGGTGATGAGAAAACAGATCACCACTCTGGTTTCTAAAGCCAGGCAGGGCCACAGGACTATTTTAAGACCTCGACCTCGGCATCTGCCTATAACTCTACAGTTATAGCTTCAGCTGTATAAACGGTGAAGGTTTTCCAAGAGTTTTCTCACTATTTAGGCTGCAATTAATCAACCTAAAATGTCAAAGCAGGCCTTTAACATCTGCTAAGTTTCCTTGATACCAGCTAGTAAAACTTTAGCTAGGAAGCCTCGACGCAGGCTTACAGTTCAGCAGAGTCAAGGTTAGGGTTTTCTCAAACCTACACATTTACATTTGTATGCATCTTTTATGCTTTTATCTAAAGTGACTTACATGAGGAGAATAAACATCAAGCACGTGGCTCCTCTGGGAATCCTAGCCAGGACGCTTCCGAGGCAGGCACGCTAACCCGCTACACTGTAGAACGTACACCTCAAACATGATCTTGACAAAACAAATGTCATGATTAGAGATGTGAGTGTCAGTTCATTCCCTTTGTTTTTATGACCTTTTGCATCTAAACCTGTGGAGAAACTACAGGTGGTTCATCCATGCAGCAGCAGCAGCAGCAGCAGCAGCAGCAGCATTCATTCATTCACAGTCTGTCAAACATATGCAGAACGAGTCAAAGTCCATGAAGTGGAGTCTATTCACAAGTCACTGCTCAGCTCCTGGACCTGCTGTGACACATGCAAAGGAGCAAAATACAGAAGATAGGGGGCAGTGGGGAGTGCGAGCGTATCACTCCAAAAGGGCTAAGCTGTAGACGGGGGGAAAGGGGGTATGGGGGGTCACATATGGCATCTAAATCAGGGTGGAGACAAAATAGACCCTGACGCATAACATTGATTCAGACAGACAACAGCTCAGAGTTTACTGGGCCTCTCAACAGGAGGAGTTAAAAAAAAAAAACTCTCCCATAAGTCACTCTCCTCTGTTT